GAGGCTGTATCATTTATCATCTTTCTGCAGCACCTAAGAAAATGTATAAACAGTAATACTGATAATCAATTAATATCTCTGTTACACATCATGCAAAGGTTAAGAAGTCAGCTATTTCTGCCGTAAATTTTTCAGGGATGGTACCTCACATTTTTACAGAGGAGCTGGTTTGTCTTTTATAGAAATCTTTAATGCCATCTAGCCATAGCGTTTTTCACCACATCCACAACATGAACTAACCTAAAGTAGTGTGGCAATGGAAACTGAAACTTTTCGACAGATACACTTACAAATAATTGCAAACTGAAATGTTTCTAACTGATAGCATTGAAATTCCCAGATTTGCAAAGTTCTTCCTGCTTCTCTGACACTCTCCATCTGTTTCACAAGTCATTGTCTTTGAAGCACTAGGCATAGTTTTAACACTCGAAAAATGCTTTTGGATTTTCTTCCCATTCTTCTAGGAGATTAATAAGCCCCCTGTAGCCTTCGGTAATGCTTTAAAAACCATTTATGAAAGCAAGAGAACATGTAAATACTCTAAAGTATTTTATTTTCTCTTGTCAGAGCAGTTATTATCCTGTCGGTGCACAGCTAGCTACTGCACTTATTATGCACGATAATCATGCCTCTATTTTTAGGTAACGAAGCAATCAATGATTCAGATAGAAATACTAAAAGGTAATTCATCTTTTTTCCTTCAATGTTCTCTTCACGCCGAAAAAACAAAAACACACTATGCAATTTGCTAAAGAGCTAGAAAAATAAAGGGGGGGGAGTGTGTTCAGCAATAATACATAATCACCATTAAATAATATTTTGTATTTAAACAGTTCCTTTTCTGTGCAAAACTCAGAACTTTCAAAGGCTTTGTGCACAGGACAATTAAAGTAGAGATGGATGAGTCAATCTCTTTCTGGCCCATGTCAATTTCATATGTTACTCTATAGCGTAAGTCAATTGCATAGTCTGCATTTATTTATTTTTTAAAAAAATCCTTTGACATAGTATCTACATTTAAATACATATTTTTAAGGTATATTTAAATGTTTATGAACAAAATGTATTTATATACATATTTTATCTTGATGTCCACCTAGTTATAGAAGATACATTTGATTCATTTCACATTTAAAGGCAAACCTAACTAAAGCAATATGTGAAATGAAACACAGACAGCCATCAAAATTCAGACTTATTTGAATTTTGTAATGAGTTCTCCAACCAAGCAATGAGGACAAGAATGCATATACTTGTGTAAAGTGCATATCAAAACGCATATATTAGCTGCATACATTTAATATATCTGAAAACTGCTTTGCAAAATGAGCACATTAAGCAAAAAATGGATACAAAATTATGTATAGTATTAGAGAAATTCATAGTAAAATGCTGATCAATTTTCATAAGGATATGATTGGAAAAAAAGAGAAATGAAAAAATGCAAGAGCCCTGGATTATTATTTTTTTAAGGAATATCAGATACAATGTGATGTAGCTCAAATGAACAAATGTTACGTCAAGAACCTGGTTATCTGGGAACAGCAACCTCTTGAATTCACCTTAGATACCGCTTTATAAACATTTAAAGGAGGGAATTATGAACCTGCTTGGAATTAACATCCCATTCCATATCTCAGCTCATCCCTCTTTTAATTCGAATAAGGAGTCTTGTGTGTAGTACAAGAGTTAGTATTATTTCTGATGGACTGGTGGATTTCAAAGCTTTAGTGAACATTTTTCTCTTTGGTGATCAGTAAAGCTTAGGTTGAGAGACAGGTTTAAGGTCACACAATGAGATTCATGGCTGAGTATAGGGTTGAACCCAGGTATTCCCTGTCCTAAATTTGTACTGTCTTCACTAGGATTTACTTCACCAAAGTAAGCTCCCTTTGAAGACAATTCAAAAAGGCAGTAGAATTTGGTAGCCAAACTTGTAATGGGCCAGAAGGGATCTCATTCATTCTCTTTCTCTCTCTCTCTCTCTCTCTCTCTCTCTCTCTCTCTCGTTCTGGTCCATTTACCCCACCTGTAAATCACCTTCTGATTTACAGAACAAATTCAAAGTGCTGGTTTAAACTTATAACACTTTATATGGCTTGGGACACCATTGCTTAATGAAGTGTCTCCCCCCCCACACACACACAGTATGAACCTACCTGAATCCTCAGCTCATCTTCAGAGATCCTTCTACAAGTGCTCCCTTTAAATAGGTTGTGGAGGGTGGCCCTTTTTAATACACCAAAGCATTGGAACATTGATATTTGTCTGGGGATGTTTAGTGTGAACATCTTTAGTTATTATTGTACATTCTGAATATTTGTTTGCTATGTAAACCACCCTTAGACCTCTGGGTAGAAGGTTTAATAATGATAATAATAATAATAATAATAATAATAATAATAATAATAATAATGATGATGATGATAGAAATGTGGCATGCTATTCCTTCAAAGACTGCAAACCCACACATATAAATAAATCCACATTAGTGGGAAGTATATCAATCTTTGGATGCCCTACCTTTACATTAGGCGAAGCTCTGCTTCCTAATTTGTAGTCATCTTGTTTGCAGGGAGGGGGGAGTAATACGAGTGGCTAAGGTCTTTCTTTCTCTTCGTCATGTTTGAGTTTAAAGGCATAACATATCCTACAAATTGTGTTTCCAGTAATTTTAATAATAGAGCATTGAACTTGAAATCTCTTTGTTCAGTGCTCATCCTGTTTCTGCTCAGTGCTTAGGAATACACAAGCAAGCTCGACTCTTAAAGACCTTCATTATATCATTCCAAACAAAATTATTCAAACGTAATGTTGAAAAGCTGTGGGGGGGGGGGGGAAGGAATGGCTATGCACCTTCACCATTGAGGCAGTATGCCTCTGAATGTCGGTTGCTAAAAACGACAGGAGGTGCTTGTAGTCTTCCTGTCAAAAAAGTAGCCCGGCCTCCCCAAAACATATTAGTAAGAAAAACCCTGGAAGGAATTTTGTGTTCCTCTTTGAGAGAGAAAAATGCCTTGTGTAACATTATTCACTGTCATATCAGGACACTGAGAACGCTTGCCAACACGAAAGACTGGGAAGGAAGGAAGTGATTTATCTAATTTAATTCATGCTTAGCCCCAAGCCTCTTTCATTAACGAAGTACAGTCCATTTAAAGAAATGTTTGAATGTGAAACCCGTTTCCTTCAGAGGTATCAACACATCTGATGAACAATTACGCATTCAGAAAGCTAATGTACAATAGTGGCAAATGTGTTCCTACAGCTGTTATTGCAAAGCCCACTCCAATTTCCGATGCACAAGATAAAAATGACAACTGCAAAAAAGAAAGGGGGGGAAAGGATACCACCATAGAAGTAATCTGCTGCTCTGAGAGGGACAAAGGAGCAGTTACAGACACATAGCTATAGCATTTTCTGGATGGCCCTTTAAACAGAAGTGGCTTTCAAAATGGTGTTCCGTATCAAAGAAGCAATGGTGGTGTATTTGAAGTTAACCCTTGGGTAGGCAAACTAGGGCCTGGGGGCCCGATCTGCCCCAATCGCCTTCTAAATCTGGCCTGCGGACGGTCCGGGAATCAGTGTGCTTTTACATGAGTAGAATGTGTCCTTTTATTTAAAATGCATCTCTAGGTTATTTGTGGGTCCCGCTTGGTGTTTTTACATGAGTAGAATGTGTCATTTTATTTAAAATGCATCTCTGGGTTATTTGTGGGGTATAGTTCACTATTATTTTTGTCGATCTGCTCTCCCCCCCCCCCCCCAAGTCTGAGGGACAGTGGACCCGCCCCCTGCTGAAAAAGTTTGCTGACCCCTGGGTTAACCCTACCCTACCTGTTATTTCCCTACTCCATATTACACCCACTAATCAGCTTTCTGGCCTGCAGGTTCCAACATTTATGTTTTGTCCTTTGTGCAAATGTGCAAAACTTTGAAAGTAAGTAGCAGTATACCAAGCTGAAGCCAAAATCTTGACTTCAGTTCCAGAAATGTGCACATGCAAATGGTTATACATCATGGAAAATGGCACAGGGAGAGGGGGAAATATCAGAAATGTACCAGCTGAAGATCCAGTGAAATTCTAGAATTTATGTTCTGAAATGATACAAAGATCACTTAATTATAAAGAGTCATTAGCTATAAAAACTAGGGAGGAGGAAAACTCCCAGAGCTTCTGGATTTGTATATGTCATGAATACACCAGCAACTTTTTGTAGTCTTATCTGCTTTCAAATATGCACAGATATACAATGATGTAAAGACCCATTTTGGATCATGTAACTGTTAGCTTTGGTCAAACTCATGTTAGTAGCTTTGAGAACACTGTCCAATCATCTCGTCCTCTGTCATCCCCTTCTCCTTGTGCCCTCAATCTTTCTCAACATCAGGGTTTTTTTTTTCCAGGGAGTCTTCTCTTCTCATGAGGTGGCCCAAGTATTGGAGCCTCAGCTTCACGATATGTCCTTCCAGTGAGCACTCAGGGCTGATTTCTTTTAGAATGGATAGGTTTGATCTTCTTGCAGTCCATGGGACTCTCAATAATCTCCTGCAGCACCATAATTCAAAAGCATCAATTCTTCGGCGATCAGCCTTCTTTATGGTCCAGTTCTCACTTCCATACATCACTACTGGGAAAACCATAGCTTTAACTATGTGGACCTTTGTCGGCAAGGTGATGTCTCTGCTTTTTAAGATGCTGTCTAGGTTTGTCATTGCTTTTCTCCCAAGAAGCAGGCGTCTTTTAATTTCGTGACTGCTTTCACCATCTGCAGTGATCATGGAACTCACTTGCTATACTTGTTTTGTTTTGTTTTGTCTCCATAGGCAAGACCCTTTTGTTGTCTTGACAACTGCCCCTACCAACAAACAAAACTACTAAGCAGTGTACTGCACTAAGCTAGAACCCAAACATTGTGACATAGGAGGCAGGTTTCCTTAGCAATGAACAAGAGGATCCTACTTCCTATGTCACAGTGTTTAGGTTCTGGTTTCTATAGGGACAGAAATGTATAAAGTATGCTCCACAGATCTCCAGGCTCAGATGGAGTCAGCAGGAGCTTGAGGCTGGACATAAGAGATGTCTTGCTGGGTTCTCTTTGTGTTTCAGAAATGGAAGAAGACCCTGGTCACACTCAAGTAAGAGGAAGAAGATAAGGGCCTCGGTTTGGCAGGGCACCAAGTACATTTAAATAAGTTGATGACTGAGGAAGCTAAACTGGCCGAGAGGTGATGGGAAAGGTAGGAGACTTGTTAGGGGAGGAAGGGAGAATTGATTGTACAAAACTGCTGGGGATGAGGGATTAATAAGTGAGCAAGGAATGATGGAACTTATTCGTGACTGGACTTAATTGTCAGGGGTGCTTTTACCTTTACCTTTAATGATAGAGGCAGAAAGAACAGTACGGAATCAAGGGAAGAAGTTGTTTATTTTGGCATTTGAAGAACTGGGATGCTGTTAAACCTAAACATGTGTGAATTGATTGCTGAAACTGCAGCAGGGAAGGGTGATTTACTTGTTAATGATGGCACAGGAAAACTTCTCTCCTTATTTCAGTCAGATGAAGGATTTAAGAAGCATTCAAAGGAAATGCTCAGCCTGTTACTCTGACACCATTTGACACATGTAGGAGGGTTTAAAGTTTCCATGTTTAAATAAGGCAAGTCTTTATGTTTCCTCTTGGGTGCAATTTAGGGAAGTTTAGTTAACTGCCATCCTCCTCCTATAACTGTCAGCTCTCAGGATTCTTTCACTCCCCCTCCCATACTGGGCACCAGTTTCTTGAATTCTCCAGATTCTAGAATGTAAGGAGGATAGGAAAGTCCACTCCAGTGGAAAACTAAGGCTTGTGTCTTGGCAGTCCAGCTCAGCTGTCCATAGAAGGCAGAGTCTACCATCAATGGGAGATTAAATGGATGCTAAGATTAGACAAATCTGTCGATTTCAGTTTTTCATCTTTCCATGCTTCAGTTCACCACATTTTTGCATCAGTTTGAGTTTTGCCTTGGTTTGCTTTTCAAATCCTCACAAAATTTTGCCAGCATTTTAGAGCATATTTTGCTAATATGGGTGTGGTGTTTGCCCTCCTAGTTGGGTCATAAGGAAAGGGTTAAATGAGTGTGAAGTGATTGGCCAGTGGGAACCCAAGGGGAGGAGTAGAGTTAGAGTTAGTGTTGTTTGGGAGTCAGTTGAGAGTTGGGAGTTGGAGAAGGAAGAGGGAGGATAAGTCTGTGGGTTGGTCGAGTTGTGTTGTGAGAGAACCTGATAGAAGGAGTCAGATATATAGTTGAGATAATCAGTTTGAAGTTGTTAGGAACGTATAGGTCAGTAAAGAAACTAAGATTAAGAAACTGCCAAGAAAAAAATAACTGAAACCATAAACTTGTTCATGCTTATAAAATAAACTTGATAATTTGTTAATGATAACAACTGTCTGGACTCCATGTGTATCCGAGAGAAACGGGTTGGTGGCAGTGGGAAAGCAATCACAGTGGTGGCACAGGGATCAATAGACCGTCAAACGTCCGGGGACCCTGTGTGATCGCCACAATGGGTTAGAGTAAAAATCTGCAAATTCTGAGGTTATTTCTTTGGGGGAGAATGTTATGCTGCCGTCTTTTTTGGTGATACAATGTTTTCTCTCTTTTTTGAGTGATTCCCCCCCCCCCCACACACACCTGTTTGCTAACAGTCTGGAGTTTTCCCCTCCATACTCGTAGAAGCATTGTTTAGAGTATCGAATGTTGAGCATTTTTTTGTTGATTTCTAGGGAATCTAGTTCCCTCCTTTTTTGTTCTATAAGTTTAAGAAGTTTTTTTTAGCTCCTGTTTGTTTGTAGCGTGATGAGAGGGCCGTGGTCTTGTTCTATTTTGCTAATTTTTGAGGATTGTTTTTAAAGGGATGTTTTCTTTCTTGTGCAAGCTGCTCTGATGACTGCTTTCATTGCATCCCATAGGAGGGGAGTTGTTATAGTGTATGTTTTGCTAATATATACATTTTTTTGCCTAATATGCAGATTTTTGCAAGCCGTTTCCTCTAATACAATGCATTTCTGCATGTTATTTTCACTATTGCAATATGCTTTGGTTAGCATACTGTTTAGAGAAGTGTGACTTGGGTAGGGTCACATTTGGCAGTAGTGGTTAGCATGCTGAAAAAGGACCTGGGTTCAAATTCCCACTTGGCCATGAAGCTCTCTGGGTGACCTTCTGTTAGTCGCTCTCAGCCCAACCTACCTCACATAGTTGTTGTGAGGATGAAATGGAGTGGATGAGAACTTTGTCTGCCATCTTCACCTTCCTGAAGGAAAAGCAGGATAGAAATGTTTTAAATAAATAAGTAAATATGAAGCAAACCAATTTTTTCCTTCCATCCCAAACATGCAGGCCATAGAAGTGTTAGGAATTAATCAGCCGTGTACTGCATTTTTATTCAGTTTGTTACAAAGCACAAAAGCAAGCTTAACTTTTCTAGGGGGGTACAAAAAGGATAAGAGCTGTAGAGGTCTTACCTAGATGATGGATGAAAGCAAAAGAAAGTAAAATGTAGGAGGAAAAAATAAAGCAGGGGGGGGAATAAAGATGTTTTAAGAAAGCACTGAAATGTGAAAACACAAGAGAGTTGAATGTCACATTCCAAAGCATTTCTATGATAGGGTGCTGATCAGCAAAATATATGCAGATATGCAATTCAGAGGGCAATTTAGGCTGAACAAGAAGACTGGTGCCTGTAGATTAAAAGATGTAATGAGGAACATACAGAGAAAGAGGAGAAGATAGATATGAAAGAATAAGACAGTGGGGGCACTTGCAATTAAGGACATAAAGTTTCAGGTTAATGCAAGATGTGTTAGAATTCCTCATATGATCAGCAAAAGGTGACAAACCAGCAAGATAATTTGGAACAGGGCAAAGAGATAGAAAGTAGAAACTGGAAGACCAACAAAAATAATCTTAGAATAATCAGTGCAGAAAATAATAGGAGAAGGAACTAAAGAATTGATACTGAGCATAGAAAGGAAAAAGCAGACTTTGGGTATGTTGACTGAAAATGAGAAGAATTGGCAAGAGCCAGGCTATAGGGAGAAAATGAAAGAGAAAAATCAAAAAGAATTCCAAGATTTATTGCTTGGAGAACAGAAAGCAACCACATTGTCGAGAACAAGAGAGAGTGATTTTGCAAAAGGAATCAAAAGCAGTAGGAAAGACTGAAAGCTAGCAGTATTAAGTTTGAGAAAAAATAAAAAGGGCATTCGTCCAATGAGTTTAGAGAAATCAGCAGGTATTTGGGCAAGTTATGAGAGGGAAACATCAGTAGAATAGTACTTCATTGGCTCAGCAGTGGGGTGAAGATCAAATGCACTTATTGTGGGACCAAGTGTAAGATGTTTTAATACTGATCACTGAGGAACTCCTGTACAAAGGAGAAAGATGAAGAAAGGGATCTACAGAAAGATTTCTTAAAGGAGAGAGATGATTGAAACCATGGCAGAACAGTACCTGAAAAAGCAAGGGAATCATGAAAAGAAAGGAGGAGCATCAAAGACCCAAGAACATTTCAGAAAAAGAAGTGTGAGAACCAAATCAGAAAAGACCAATAAGATAACAGGGAGAGAAGAAAGTATAAAATATTGGTTGAAAAGAATCTGGCCAAGAACTTTAGAAAGAAAGTGAAGGAGTGGGATGAGATGCTGGATGAGAGAAGGTCAAAGGATCAGAAGACTTTTAAAAAGGGGTGGAATTGCATAACATTGTTGTTGTTTAGTCGTTTAGTCGTGTCCGACTCTTCTTGACCCCATGGACCAGAGCACGCCAGGCCCTTCTGTCTTCCACTGCCTCCCGCAGTTTGGTCAAACTCATGCTGGTAGCTTCGCAAACACCATTCAACCATTTTGTCCTCTGTCGTCCCCTTCTCCTAGTGCCCTCCATCTTTCCCAACATCAGGGTCTTTTCCAGGGAGTCTTCTCTTCTCATGAAGTGGCCAAAGTACTGGAGCCTCAGCTTCACGATCTGTCCTTCCAGGGAGATAACATAACATACCCAGACTTAAAAGAAGGATGGAAAAACAGAACAATTGTTGACATGAAATAAAGAAAGAATAATGGGGCAATTCATATATTTTTTAAAGGACAGGGATGAAGCTATCCCACTCAACAGAAACTTTCAGAAAAGAATTTTCTGATACACTTTCTAAGAATTTAGTTTTTGAGTTCCCACCAATTGTTGAAGTTCACACACACCCAACACACAAATAAAATGGTGAACTTCAGTTGTACTGATGTTTCCATCCCAATATATTTATTGAAGGAAGTCGTGGGTTATGCTTCTTTGGTAGAGAAGGTGAAATGCCTCTACAGTTCATCTTCGAAATTCTCCGCTGAATTTTTTTAATTCACTTGATGATGAATGGAACTCTATTGTTAGTTTGTGTTTTTGGATGAGAGAAGCAATAGACTAAAGGATGGCAAGTGGAAGGAGCTTCCTTCAACAAAAAGAAATCTATATTGAAAATTATATAGTAAACAGTTGTGCCTGAAAACAAATAGGTGGTAAAACGGAGAAGGTCATATCACTGAATATTCTTTTCAATTCTTGGAAATTCTCCAACAATTCAGGAGGAGCTTGGTGAAATATGTTTTGTTTTGTTTTGTTTTTTGTTTTTTTGAAGTCAGAAAATCATTTTCTGAGGCATTTTGGCTCATTCTAATTCACAAATATTCACTGTACATAAATAATGCCTGTAAAGACCTTTTATTTTTCTATGCATACACAAAACCACTTATAACAGATTGGTGATCCTGTAACTCCCATTAACTACCTGGATGTGTTCAGTATCAGTCTGGTTAAGCTGGCGTTTCCTACCCTTACACTTTCAGCTGATAAAACCTGCATTCATATAAATTAATGTTTTATACCATACTGTATGTTGCCTATGGGCTCTTTACATGAGGCAACGGGGGGGGGGATGGCATAAACAAACAGAAAAATACACAGTGGTCATTTCTTTTTCTCAGGATTGGGTGGATGCATAATCTGATTTACTTCCCCAAAACTAAAAGCCATCATTTTCCACCATCTATTTCCATTTAGAAATGTTGCTCAAAGCACTGACATTTATAAAGCATGTCTCATTTCCCCTGCAACAGCAGATGCTTGATGAATTGCCTAATGATTTGGCCACATGCATTCTTTAACAACGCTAAATAAATTGCACAGTAACATAACCTTGATAGCTCAAGCATAGTGGCTTAAAAATGATCAGCCGTGTACAGTCTGGAAGCTTTGCAAAATGACATTCCATGAACATAAGATCATATTTCACAGCTGTTAGAACATCTACTGAATGGCTTATAGAGTTTCATAATTAAAACAGTGTTAAAAGATGCTAAATAGTTAGGAACCAGTTCCATATTTGGTAGCTTGCAAAAGTGCTTTCTACGAAGGCAGGATTCAGCGGCAGACCTGAAATTTCAGCGGGATCCTGTGCAATGCCAAAATTTGGCAACCCTGCCTCTCATCATCCATTCTACATCATAGTTGTGGCACTCCCCTAAATCTGGGACTTCCGGGGTGGCGCCATCGGCAATGGCGGACTCCCTCTGATCTGGAGGGACTAGCTCCGTGCGAAACGGGTCTTTTCCGCTACGGCGAAGCAGGGACCCTTTCAAAAATCACAGGCAGATGAAGCCTGTGACCATGGGACTCGGCGGGCACCCTTAGCGCCCCCCCAACCCGCAAGGGAACCCACTAACGGGCTCCGAAGCGAAGAGGGGGAAGTGGCGCGGTGCTGAGAGTCAACTGCTATTTCCGTGGAGCGAAGCCGCATAGCTGTTGCCGGATAGCGCTGCCTTTTTCCTGGGACAATTTGGCTTCTAAAATAATCACCCGTGAGTACTTAAATTTCGGACAATTGGACTTTAAATAAGGACTTGCGAGCAGAAAGGAATTGGACTTAAAAATTTACTTCAATTTGGCACTGAAACAGGAAGGTCTAAACAGGAAGTCAGCCTTCCGTTTCTTTGTAGACAGAATAAAGCAAAGACAACGTAAACTAGAGCTCAGAAAATAGCTTCTAAAAGATTAACTTTCATCATTTTAAAATTGTTGAACCCCCCTTCGGAAGCAGGAGAAGAAGGGGATCTTTTCGGACTGTTTAAACCTGCAGAAGTGAGTTTAAAGTAAAGTAACTTTCCACCGTCCTGATCCTGGAGCGGGGTGTCAGGACTGACGTTTGAAGCTCATTGACCAGAGACAAACGTTTTTGACAGATAGCTAAAAGAAGAGAAACATAGTGATTCCACTGTTCCCTTTCGCATTTTAAAGGAACAAATATTGACAAAATATCTCAGAAAGGAAACTTTGTTGCTAGATTTGTACTTAAAAGAAAGAACAAATAGAAGTTTTCCCCCTAGAGGGAGACTGTGAAACTGTAACTAATTCCAGGGAGCTTGCAGCTGTTACAGATTACAATCGTGGGAATAGACTTGTGACCTTGTAGGACAATGTATTCAGAAGCTCTGTGGTGTGCTCTCTGTAAAACAAATGCCCTACTGGAACAGTTAAATGAGAAGACGGATTTGATGACTAATGCGGTCAGAATTTTTGAACAGGCAGTGGGAAACTATATGGAGCCCACCCAGGAATCAAATCAGGAGTGTGCCCTGACAGAACAGATGAGAGAAGAGGATGTTGCTGAATTTTGGGCGCCAGAGATGGAGGGAGCTGTGGCCCTGCAGGAACATGAGCTTTTGGACTTGACAAATGAACTTGGAAAAAGCCAGATTTGGAAAGATAAAGTTTGGACTGGTTTGGAAATGGGGGGTTGGATAGACCCCCCATTGCAGGGATGTTTGGACTTTCCAAGTCTGGCAATGGGCCGTGAGATGTTTGGGGCTGTGGGGGCTCTTAATTTTGGAGGGATTCTGAAACATGTTTTCAAATACCACATGGAGTTTAGTCTGGTCTTTGGAAAAGGGGCTGATTTGTTGAAAAGGGTCAAAAACATTACCAAGCTGGAGTTCCCACGAGTGAAAGGAGAATATGAAGAAGAGCCACGGAAGGGACATGGAAGAGACTTAAGGGCCTCGGATATAAGGTTACCAGGTTAATGCGCTAGATCAATGGGATAAAAAGGACTGACAAAACCCAGGACCAGGAGGAAAGGACGCTGGATGAAGATTGGATTGTTTTTATTTCTTTTTTTTATTATTAGGATTGTTTTATAAAATTGATGAATGTTAGAAAAATGTTGGAACGAAATTACTTGGCTCTAGCAAAAATGTTTAAAGAATTAGGTAAGAATATTATGGTTATGAGAAGTTGGTAAAAATAAGATTTAAGTTTTAAGTTTTAAGGTTTTCTATAAGATAAGATGAAAATAGATTAAGGTAATGTAATGACAGAATATTATGAAATATGGAAAGGATTTGCTGCGATAATTAATAACTAGGATACAAAAAAAGGGAGGAGGAGGAGGTCAAAGAAAGAAGGTAATGAAAGTTGAGGATTCGAGAATGATGGATTTGTTTTTATCTGTTTGTGGTATATTTTTGTTTTTTGAATCTGCATTGTTTGATGTGGTTTGTTTTCTCTTTGTTTTCTCTTTTTTCTTTTTCTGCTGTGTTTTTTTCTGTATTTTTTTTTAATAAATATCATTTTAAAAAAAAATCTGCTTCTGCAAGATTAGACAAAACAATTGTCTGCAACTGCGAAGTACTCATGAGTTACTTTTTCTATTGCATCCCATAACAAACCTTTATCACAACAAGTTACACCACTGAGAAACATAGCTGACTTGATCTTCTGCACAGCTTCTATAAGACTTTATCCTCTTTTTCATACAACTGACAAACAATTACTTTATGGTGAAGGTTGGCTTGTTGCCTATAGACACTAAATAATATGTGAGTTATAGCTAAATGAATTTTCTGCATCAGTAGGAATCAGTTAATGTCCTCTAAAGCAACATGGACCTTTTAGCTTCCAAATAGCCACAGTTGCTTTAGGATTGTAGTATGATGCACACATGCTTGAGAACATGCTCTGTTGAACCTAATGGGACTTATTTCTGAGTAAATATGAATAGTATTGGATTGTAAGATACTAACTGCATGATCCTACTCAGAAATAAGCCTGCCTTTGTGGGAGTTATTTGCAGGTAAGGATGTATAGGATTACAGATTAATATGGATTATATTATTATATATGGTTCCCTTTACCTTTACCTATAATCAGCTTCAACTTTCATAGGGAAAACACACCCTGAAATCGGACTGCAAAATTATGCAGCTCATTACTTGCGTATAGTGATCCATCAGTGGCTATGTAGATTTCCTGGTTTTGCTGCTCAAATAAGAAAGAAAAATGGGCATTGTTGAAAAATTGACCATGGCAGAGTGCCTAGAGTCAAAAACAAAGGCTCTGGTGCCTTTGATATTTGTTTACATCAGGAAACTTCAGAAGCTGCTTCTTTCATGGCAAATCGTATCTGCTTAAATTCCTTCTTCTTTACAAAGGTGCATCATCCCTGTCCTCTTCAGCATCTGGCGTCTCGTAATTTGAGCCCATGCATAGTCTAAGGTAGGGTTAGTCAATAGGTGTCACCCCTCCAGAAGTTGTGAATGACAACTGCTGCAACCCTGACCATTCCAATGCTGGTTGGAGCTGATGGGAGTTGGAGTCCACAACATCTACAAGGCACCACATTGGCTACCTTCTGATCTAAGGACATTGCAACACTGTAGATCAAACACTGTACTCAGGGAAATCTGTCTCTCTGTGGGGATTATTTGGACTTTGTGGGCCACAAGCCCTGGGATAGCTAAATGACAACTAAATGTTGGAAACAATGGTCAGTTCATGTTAGGGCTGGACACATCTGTCATATTCTCTCTCCCCCCCCCCAATCTTCAGCTGAAGTTTCCACATCTCTGCATCAGTTTGTTTTATTTGTTTTTAAATAAAAAGTGTCACCAGCATTTTAGTGAAAATTTCTCCCGATGTACATATTTTGTATGCAATTTTACCTCATGTATGGTTTTTTGAAAACCGTTTCCCTAATAAAATGGATTTTATGTTATTTCCCCTAATATATGAATTTTTGTAAACATTGCAAAAATTGTGTTTCATTTTGCATATTGTTTTGGGAAGTGTGAATTGGGTTGTTGTTGTTTGTTGTTTAGTCGTTTAGTCGTGTCCGACTCTTCATGGCACCATGGACCAGAGCACGCCAGGCACTCCTGTCTTCTACTGCCTCCCGCAGTTTAGTCAAACTCATGTTAGTAGCTTCGAGAACACGGTCCAACCATCTCATCCTCTGTCATTCCCTTCTCCTTCTGCCCTCAATCTTTCCCAACATCAGGGTCTTTTCCAGGAAGACTTCTCTTCTCATGAGGTGGCCAAAGTATTGGAGCCTCAGCTTCAGGATCTATCCTTCCAGTGAGCACTCAGGGCTGATTTCTTTTAGAATGGATCGGTTTGATCTTCTTGCAGTCCATGGGACTCTCAAGAGTCTCCTCCAGCACCATAATTCAAAAGCACCAATTCTTTGTCGATCAGCCTTCTTTATGGTCCAGCTCTCACTTCCATACATTCCATACATATGGGAAATCCATAGCTTTAACTATATGGACCTTTGTCGGCAAGGTGATGTCTCTGCTTTTTAAGATGCTGTCTAGGTTTGTCATCGCTTTTCTCCCAAGAAGCAGGTGTCTTTTAATTTTGTGACTGCTGTCACCATCTGCAGTGATCATGGAGCCCAAGAAAGTAAAATCTCTCACTGCCTCCATTTCTTCCCCTTCTATTTGCCAGGAGGTGAATTGGGTAGGTTCGCATTAAAATCCAAACCAAACAAAATTTCATCCCATGATGGTTAGCGTGTGTGAATACGTTATTACAAAGCAATCATCACCATCCATTGTCTTTTGTATCCACTCAAAACACAATGCTTTTCAACAGAGTTGATGATTACAATTATTTCTATTCAGCTGTGAATCGTCCTGTGTTTAAAGATCAAATGATAAGATGATTTCTGCTAGGAACTGGGTTTGATCTAGCAGCTGAACCTGCCTTGCTTAAACCCATTGTTTAGAAAAACGTATTGAAAAATAAATGAACACAATGCTTTAGCTGAACTATATCTGGCCACTGTGGAATAGATAATTTTCAAAATTAGCAAAGTGGCAGATCAGCCATCATATATAGCAGGGATGACAAATGCACATTAGAAAGTTCAACTTAAAGTATCCTGTAGCATAATTAATGCAGGATGTGTTTGGTGAAGAGTATTTTAAAAAGAGAATTATGTGAATGGTGTCCTTCAACTTAAGCTATTGTATCAGTGACCTTGCTTTTAACATTTGCTGCAGAAAGCCATTAACATGAATTAATGGAAGTTCCAATGTCATTCAAAAACACTCTTCACCCCATTCCCAGAAAAGAAAGTACAGGAAGTCTTTAGGGGTGACTATGGGGTAACATTAAAAAATAAAGAAATGTGAGATTTACTTCATTAATTCTTTTTCTACTTTTTTTTTTTTGCTCCTGAACTGGCATCACTGGACTCTTGAACTTGTATTTGATCACAGAAGAAGCTCAGATAAGTATTCATATATACAGGAGCTAAGATAATGGAGTGCTAAATGTTGCAGGACTCTAAAACACAGAAACCAATTTAACTGTTTTAGAATCAAGGTTTTCCCATGTGCTGTTGTTTTTTCTTTCCTATACTGAGAACAAATTTTGGACAGTTTCCCACACCATCTCATTGATCTGTAAGGTAGGGATATTCCTGGGGAGTTATAGAAATGTTACTGCGGCAGTATTATGTACAAGCAATCCTTTAAAAAATAAAATACACTTCCATTACCAGAACTGCAGTGGAGAAGAGGGCAGGCTTTTGACCATATAATTGTAATTCTAAATTCAACTAAAAAACCTTGTGATTTGGCAAAGTAATTTTAGGCCCTTTATTTAATAGTTTTATGGGATTTAAACAAGAATGAGGGTAACACGGTATACAACAGTGTTGTTTTACATAGAATGTAACTGATCTGTAGAAAAGTATCACCTGAAAGAAGAGACAATGCATTAACTTTTCTAACACAAGAAAATCTTTAATATTTTTTTTTCAAGAAAACAATAAATGGCAATATTTTAGGGAAAGTTTAGAATGCCAACTAGGAGTTAAGCAACAGAGTTACTAAGCAGTGAGCTGAAGAGAGAACAACAACATGTAAACTAAGGAAGAAGCAGGATCAGAAAATGCTGCTGTCTGTTTTGAAGGCAAAGCTGTGCCTATGGGAGAAGCCAGAACCTCTTGGAATTTAATGCTGGAGATCCCTCCATTGGATTCAGGTTGTATATATCTGTAAATAAGCCACATATCATAAAGACACCACAGTCTCTGCTGTATCTCATTGTCCAAAATTGGAATACAGTCCTTGGTAAACATGCCTTGTACCCCTGGAATCTCATGCCACATGGAGATTGAGGTGGCGTGTAGCAATGTAAACAGTTTCTTGGGGAATGGCCTGGGACTCCTACTTTGACTAGTAGGGCAATCTTATGAACTGCGGGGGGAAGTACTTTCTTTCCCCCAAGCTGAAAACTGTCACATTGAAACGGCCCATCAGAATGTTGCCATTTGGGCATGGGCATAACATCACAGAAGGTTGAAGTTTTTTCTCCATTGACAGTACATAGGAAGCTACCTTATATGCATACTATCTCTTGCTTTTTCCTGTAGGACTAATTGCAGTCGTTTACAGTTATCAACAGGTTTCCCATACTCACTGAGTCAATCACCCATCTCCTACTACCCTTCTGAGAAAAAAACCCACCCCACCCTCCCACTATATATAAGGGTCTGGTGACTTCTGTTTCAGTGTATCTGAAGAAGTGTGCATGTGTAGCCTTATTGGAGTTCACCAATTGGGTCTGCGTTGCTCCCAGACAGGAGGAAGGAAGTCAAATGACACCGAGGGTTGGTTCAGAGAAAGAGTTCTTTATTTCTGCTCTCCGGAACAGCAGAAAGGCACCTGCGTGGTGTGTCCACAGCAAGTCCAAAGAAATGAGAAATTTCATGCAGTATATATATCCTCCAGGCACCCTCTCCCTCCTTCCCCAGGAATCCAACCACGTCAGCCTATACACGTAGGTTGACATCACATATGTTCCTGCTCCGGTATTCTTAACCATAAAAGGGTATTCCTTCCTGTACTTCTGACCATAAAAGGTTATTCCTTCCTGTACTTCTGACCATAAAAGGGTATTCCTGTTCCTACTCTTATCTTGGAGCAAGAGGTCACCAACTCCAAGAACACACTCTGGCCCTGTTCCCGGATTAGGTCTGTGCGTCAGGACGTAAGATAAGACCTAGATATGTCATCCCTACTCCACTGAAACAGCCAAGGTCATCCTTGCCGTCACGAACTGATAAAGGAGAGGGCTCTGAGCACTTGTTTATACAGCCGGGTTTTTGTTTATACATTGACTCAGAGCTCAAGTTAATGGATTTTAGCTAAGGAAAAATAGGGATTTTGGTGCCCTTTTCAAACTGCCTGCACAGTCAGTTTTGGGTTTGGGAAACCCATTCCTTCACATGCACAAGAAAGCTTATACCCAGAACAAACTTAGTTGATCTCTAAGGTGCTACTGGACAATTTTCTTTTCTTTTTTCCATTTACTCCCAAATTATCCTCAATTGACTGCACAGCTGGCATCTGCTACCATGGGATTGGCAGTTTGCCATGGCGGCTGCGCCGGAAGTCAAACCTGGAATCTTCTTTACGCACTGCATGTGCTCTACTACTGAGTCCCTCTTCTCTGCCTTCCAGGCAAAACATATATTGAATGGTTTAAGCCAGTCTTGTCCAAACTGATGACCTCTTAATGTTTGGGACTGCAACTCTTATGAGTCCTAGCCATCATGGTGAGTGGTCAGGGAGAGTGGGAGTTGTGGTTCAAGGCATTTAGAAGGCACCAGATGAGGGAAGGCTGGTCTATTTAAGAAAAGATGCAAATTTATGTATTAAACGTGAATAGTACTTTTGAGCACCCTCAATCTGACCTTCATGGCTACATGCAGTGCCAATGCCACATCACAGTTTGTATATTCCTTGGTACGCTATGTGTAAAGCTCTTGTTTGCTGCTGCAGCAAATTTTCATAGTGTAGGGGAACTTTGCATCTTAAGCCTAGGCAAATGTCTATATATTTTGAGTCCATTATATAAATGGAGGATTCCCATAGAAAAAGAAATTACTTATCAAGGATATGATGCATGAAGAATGAGATTTGCCGATCAGTAAAATGTAAGCATTAAAACAGCACAAGAGAAGCCAGTGTGATTAAGCCAAACTGTAAAGAGACTAAGAAAAAAAGATCATTAGTGGCATGAAGAATTTAGTAAATAGGATGATGGGACAGATTTTGTGAAGGAGCTGAAGCCAGCAAAATAGAATAATTAGAAACACTACTACAAATGAGTGTTAAAATGGTAAGCATCTTAGCAATAATTGCTTCAAGAGGATGCTGAATATGGGTTGTGTGCATAGCGAGTGCTTTCCTTTTAGAACTGAGGAGATAAATTAGAACTCAAAGAACACTTGGTGTACATTTCTCCCCCTGTCACTTGGATCTTATGGAGTGCTTCGGTCCTTATGATCTGCATTTTGTAGATTTTATGCTCCAAAGCAATGCATTCTGATTATTCTTGAGATGTCTACATTAATTCTACTGCTGACAATATGCAAAAAAAAAAAAAAAAGCTTAGGCAATGACAATACAAATGTACAACAGTGTTGCATATTCTTTCCTCATCAAATCTGCTTCAGGTTTTGGTGCCCTGAAGCAGAAGAGTGTTCTCTGCCTGCCTGCTTCTGTAACTATCTGGACCTTTCAGAAAATCAGGTTTGCTATTTATTCCAGCTTAATGCTAAAGAGGCAGGAGAAAACCCTTTAGACCCATGCTTTCTAGGCATGAGACAAACAGAAGTATGGACAATCCCTGTCAGACCATTGATTTGTTGAAGTAAGAGTAGGGAAATCACAACTAAGAAGCTCAAATCATGTATAAAAACCCCAACACCCTTTTTTGGAAATTAATGCCCCGGCTTTAACATTCAAAAGCTTTACTTGCATAATATTTACAGTCACATGCTTCTCTCAGCATGGGCTTACAGTCTCTTCCAAACAAATGTATTTTCCTCCCTTTCCAGAGCTCAGCACTTTCAGCCTTCTGTATCTCAGGCCATGCCTTGGAGCTCCTATGAGAAATTTCCACCTTTACCTTCTCCTGCAACTTTGCTCTCTTTCTTTCAAGCAGAGAAGAAGCACTCCAACACTCTATTCAACATTAGCAGTGTTCACAGTGGATTCCAAAACAGAGTCACATTGCTTCACATAAAATGGAGTCTCTCCTTCACTAGATAGGTGAAGGTAAAGATAAAGGACCCCTGGATGGTTAAGTCCAGTCAAAGGCAACTATGGGGTTGCGGCACTCATTTCACTTTCCGGCCAAGGGAGCAGGCATTTGTCCACAGACAGCTTTCTGGTTCATGTGGCCAGCATGACTAAACTGCTTCTGGTCCAATGGAACACCATGACAGAAGCCAGAGAGCATGGAAACGCTGTTTACCTTCCTCATGCAGCAGTACCTATTTATCTGCTTTCGAACTGCTAGGTTGGCAGAAGCTGTGACAGAGCAATGGGATCTCACCCCATTGTGTGGATTCGAACTGCCAACCTTCTGATCAGTAAGCGCAGGAGGCTCAGTGGTCTAGATCACAGTGCCACCCACGTCCCTCTTAAAAATAAAGCACTAATGTGTCTTTATAAGTACACTTCTCGCTTAGCTTCATGTGCTTGTCTTACATTCCGAGGTCTTTGGCATAAGACTCCCCGTTTCCCTAACATCCTATATGTTGGCTTTAATTAATGTTGTTATTTGTTCCTGCTCTTTTGTGTTCAGGTCCCTCACCCAAGCCCTGAACTTATGACCCTACATTACATTGACCATCATGAAGAAATCAGCTCTGATTCAAGATGCTCTGCTGTTAACTGTGTGGGCTACTCCCTGCAAATAAGGACATGACCTCTCCATGTTGGTGTTAGAGTTTGATCTCTGTGGTAGGATGGAGGTAGAGGGTGTATGTGTGATTGCTGGAGAAAAACATGTTCCAAAGTGTCTAGGCCAGGAAAAAACCTCAGCAAGGAATAAAACAAGCTTCAGGGAGCTGAATTTTCTTTTAAAGTAAAAACGCAATGAACATGAGATTGTCTGTTAGAGGAAACAGTCCCTTGCGGACCAGGTCTTTTAATGAACTCAGATATCACTCAGTGTGGTTCATGTCAACTGAAAAAAGTGAGCTTTATTGATTTTCTTGAGAGCAAATGTCCTTTTGTATCTTAGCAGACTGCTTGTCTCCATTGGAGACAGTAAAATGCCTTTTAGGAATATATAGAGAATTTATTTGCTTTGGCTGTAGCCCAATCCTGCAAGATTGTTTGGTAGTCCCATAACTATGGCTTTCCTATGGACCTTCCCTCCTGTAATGTTGGGGAAGCAGTTTTACACACATGGTTAGGCCTTGGTTGCAACCTAAGCCCTTAGTGTCCTCAACGCAGGGCAGACTCAGAAGTCATTGTAAGCTCAAGATGAAAGTGTCAGTATTTTCATTCTCCCATTGCTGATGTAACATGATATACATGTTTACATTTCTGTACTGTTATGTCTGGGAACGGAAGTGAACTTCTGTAACTTCCGTTCTTTCTTCTCTTGGTCTCCACTCTCGGACAGAGAAGATGTGTGTGAGACACTCAGCTCACACTACCCATGTTTGGTTGTTTTAATTCACTGTAAATAATAAAGAAATTCAGAATGCCCCATATCTGAACAGTCTGCTACCTGCTGCTACTCTGCTGCAGCCCAGAGGGAGGTTATTATACCTCCCCCTGCACATGGGGGACTGCCAGTAGAAATTGGCACTGCCTTTAGTTGTCATGGTTGTATTGCCCTTTGCAACATCATGGGGCTAGCTTTGAACCAATTTGTAGATAATTAAGCTACAATACTAAACAAAACTGTTGGTCTCAGAGCATGGTCTGAAGACACACAATGGTGTAACCTTGCTAAAGCTAGCAGATCTTGATGTGGTCCCTGCCTGGATGGCAGACTCCTAGGGAAATACATGTATGCTACCATGAATTCTATGATTGAAGAATGACAAATTATGAATGAACTAAATAAATAGGAGTAAATCTCACCATACTCAGTGTTATTGGAAGTGAGACAATCCAAGGTGGGTGCATTCCCTGCTCTCTCTACACAAGTATTCTGATCCCCAAGTTTTATTTCCTATTGTGCTCCCCATTTATTTCTACCAACTCTCATTACACACCCCATGAATCTGCTATGGTCATTTTGAGAACAATTGTCCAGCCTCACTGGTCTATTGATATAGGTACTTATCTTTTACTATGAAATACTATTGGCAAATGCTTCCATTATGCCTTTGGAAGCCTGTCTCTCTTAAGTTGTAATAATGTGAGGTGAATGAACTCCGCACACAATATCTTCTTGTGCAATCAGAATCAGGCAGTCTTCCTTTATACCTCATTAAAAGATTAATCAAGGACTCAGAGTGTAACCTAGTGTGTCAGTTCCACAGATACACTCCTCCCCACCTTTAACAATTGAATAATAAAGCGCAAAAACCAAGGCTTACAGTGGAAGCTCTGAGTGACCTTCTACTTAAAAGAGTGGTATTGGAGGCTCCAAGAATCTAATTGCCATGGTGATTTTAAAATGGCTTCAATTTGAATTGCCTGGTGACATATTGTACTCTGTGATCATTTTAAAGTTTAATCAGAACAGATTGTTTCCTGTTAAGTGCAAGATAGCATTATTTTTCTTTTTAAAAAAACAACAGCAACCCCATAATACTCCTGGAAGCTTGCTTATTATTTATGTATTTTGCATGCTCCTTTTTCTAAATTCAAGCCGATTATTCATGAGCATAAATAAAAACAGACAAAATATACAAACATAGTGCAATATATAAACATTCCACAGCTTACTAATAAAATTCAATCCAATATGGGGAAATCCTATGGCAAGATTTGAAAGGATGAGAGTTTAAGATACAGCAGATCTAGAGCTCAGATGGCTGATTCTCAGCTTGCCAAAGATACACAGACATAACTTAGGGTTGCCATATTTCAAAAAGCATTTTTTTTACAAAAAAATTACCTTTGAAATCCCGGTAATGTCTGGGAAAATGGCAGCCCTAACACAACTTGCTCATCCTGTCTTAACTGGGGCTCAGCTGGCCAAGGCCAATGTAAGTATGAAAAAAAGGCATTCCAGGACCATGCATAGCTGGACCAGAGAAGGTGAACTTAGGCTGAATCCTAAGCCTGTTCAGCTCAGTCATGTGACAGAGCAACCCAGCATAGAAGACTGTTTTAAAGGCTAGTTTTCCCTCTATCAAGATTAGACAGAAAAACAGAAGCCCTACTGCTGAGCAAAGTTTGGTTTTGGTGCGAACACATTGCTTGTACTGCCCTAAATCTACCACTGTGAGGAACCTTCTGGGGCCCTGTGACGTTAAGGGTGGTTGGTTGGAGTGGGTGTGAATTGGAATAGAGTCTGTGCGTAGGTTGAGTTAGTGTAGCGAAATAAGATGAGTCAGGAATAGTTAGGAGCTAGGAAGACAAGTAAATATATGATAGGTGGTTTAGTGAGGGAGAGCAGGTAATGGAAGTTATAGGTCTGGATAGGCACCCTATGATTGTAATTGACCGATACCATTTATGAAACCACACGCTTGTTAAACTGCAATAAATAAACAGAAGTTTATGTTCCAATATAAACCTGACTGGACTCAGTATTGTACCAGGTAGGGCCTGGGTGGTGGCAGTGAGAAATAAAGTGGTGGCACAGGGATCAATAGACGGTGAAACGTCCGGGGACCCTGTGTGATCGCCACAGGCCCAGGAATGGGGGAAGGGTTTGTCAAAATCAGACTTCACAGCATATTTGCCTGATTTATTCTGGGCAACTCATGAAACAGATTGGATTATGGATTCACTTCCGAGAGTTGTGTGCTGCCTCCATTTCTCAAAAGTGGAGCATCTCCACCTCCATCATCCAGCCCGGACACTGAGATTCAGCTCTGAGGGCTTTCTGGTGGTTCCCTTATTGTGAGAGGTGAGGTTGCTGGGAACCAGGCAGAGGGCCTTTTCAGTAGTTGCACCCACCCTGTGGAACGTCCTCCCAGCAGATGCCAACCAGATAAACAGTTTGGTTTTTAAAAGACATTTGAAGGCAGCCCCATTCAGGGAAGTCTTTAGTATGATGTTGTGTTGTGTTTTTACTGTTGTTGTTGTTTGTTAGGAGCTGCCCAGAGTGGCTGGGACATCATATAAATAAATTAGGATTATTAGGATTAAGATTAGGATTCTTACCACTGTGTGCTCTGAGTGCACTTACAGCAAGTCCCTTTGGAAATGATGGGACATACTTAGTTCTGGGTCATTTATTTATTTTTAAAATGAACTTTTTAAAGATGGGAAGGCTGGCTTGTTTTATTCCTCACTGAGTTTTTTTGCTGCCCTAGACACAATTTCAGTGGGCCCCCAACAATTGTCCAACTATGATAGGTGCTGATGCAACACACAAACTTCAAACAACAAACTATAGACTCATAGGCACATACTACTGGCAATTCACAATTTCTAATGAAGAGGAAGGTAAAGGTAAAGGGACCCCTTACCATTAGGTCCAGTCGTGGCCGACTATGGGGTTGCGGTGCTCATCTCTCTTTATTGGCTGAGGGAGCCGGCGTACAGCTTCCGGGTCAAGTGGCCAGCATGACTAAGCCACTTCTGGTGAACCAGAGCAGTGCATGGAAACTTTGAAGTGCTTTAGAACTGCTAGGTGGGCAGGAGCAGGGATGGAGCAATGGGAGCTCACCCCGTCGCGGGGATTCGAACTGGTGACCTTCTGATCGGCAAGTCCTAGGCTCTGTGGTTTAACCCACAGCGCCACCTGTATCCCAATGAAGAGGAAACCCATCTTCTAATGCAGAGAAATTTCAAAAAAATTCTTTGGTTCCTAAATTTAGAAATTGCTATGATTTTTCAACTCACCTCTACTGAAAGCACTTTAGCAGATATTATGTGGACCAAGAGCAATAAGATCCAGCCTAAATACAGCTACACAGCATTTATATGGCTCACTTTAGTTAGCCTATTGGAAAGGGAGTTTGGGATTTTAAAGCTACAGCATCATATGAAGCTCTTGAGACTGTGGCCTTTTGATTAGATTTCTAGAAAGCTTTCAGCTGGAGACAAGTAAATCATTTCTTCTTCTTTTTTTAAAGCCAGCAATGAATTAGGAGTGACCTGACTGACCCAAGAAGATATGGAGCACTGTCAAGAAAGATACTATTTGTAAAACCCCATCAGTCCTGCTGATAATTAAATGTGCAGAACTGGGGAAGAAGTCGAACAGGAGCCAAGAAATGGTAGAGCAGTAGGAGGAGAAAGTCAGGGATGGGAAGGCACAGAAAGCAAACTTGGACTATGGTGGTTCTAAAAGAGTGAGGGAATTAATTAAAAGATACCGGTAAGCTTTCATTTGGCTTATAAATAAAACACTGCTGGAGCAGAGTGTGTGTCCCATGGCACGTCGTTTGGCGTCCCTCTTGTTTTGTTCTGAAATTCAGTTAAATCTAGAGGCCTGCTGCCAAAGCAATATTTGAAAGCAATACATCAGGGATGGGGGACCCTCAATTCCACAGGAGTTATGGAGCTACAACCCTTATCATTGGATGGGGGCTATCTTGGCTGGAGCTGATAGCAGTTGGCGTTCATCTGGAGGGCCACAAGTTTCCATCCCTGAATTATTGGTACCTTAGCTCTTGACAATACAGATCCCTTCTCTCTAGCCAATGTGATGCCCTTCTCTCTAGCCAATGTGATGTCCAATGCTGGACTGCAATTCCCATCAGCCCCAGCTAGCAGAGACAATGTTCATGGATTATTGGAACTGTAGCTGACCATCTTTATGGTACCATAAAGAAGGCTGATCGCCAAAGAATTGATGCTTTTGAATTATGGTGCTGGAGGAGACTCTTGAGAGTCCCATGGACTGCAAGAAGATCAAACCTCTCCATTCTGAAGGAAATCAGCCCTGAGTGCTCACTGGAAGGACAGATCGTGAAGCTGAGGCTCCAATACTTTGGCCACCTCATGAGAAGAGAAGACTCCCTGGAAAAGACCCTGATGTTGGGAAAGATGGAGGGCACAAGGAGAAGGGGACGACAGAGGACAAGATGGCTGGATAGCGTTTGTGAAGCTACCAGCATGAGTTTGACCAAACTGCGGGAGGCAGTGGAAGACAGAAGTGCCTGGCGTGCTCTGGTCCATGGGGTCATGAAGAGCAACAACAACAGCTGACCATCATCTGGATGGCACCACACTGACTACCACTTCTCTAACTCATTTCCTCTCCCACTTCACCTCCTTCATATCCCCACTTTGTCCTTCCTCTCTGTCTTCTGAACAACTTGATTTTCTAGCCCTCCTTTCCTAGCCATATAGTTTCCAATAGCCTGGAGACTTCTCTGGCTGCTGCTCCCACTTCAACCAAAGAATGACACATGTCAGGTGGACTGATACCTATTGGGCAAGAAAGCTACGATGTTAGAAGGAAACACAGCTTATCCTGCATCTTTGCATTGTCCACCATTGTCTAAAACTAAAACTTCTCTTTTCTCAGGGCCAGTGGGCTGTCAAGTAAATCTGTAAATGCACCCAGCAGCTTGCCAGTGTCACAGGAAGGGGCCCAGTGTTACAGGAAGCCTTGCATATGGTGTCTGAGTCAAAAGAATTACAAGTTCTTCCAGCTACTAAAAAGGCCAACCTGCAGACTTCTGAGGCTGCTAGTTTTGGAACTACTTACTATTTATTTTGTCAAATGGTTGCATCTCTCCTGTGTGTATAGCCTGAGGCTTCTGCCACAATCAGTTGCAATGCATTTCCAAGTGTTGTTGTTTTTTTTCTGAGCTGCATTTGTTTGTTGTGATGAAACTGGGTGGTTCCATAGCTTGATGATAAAACACATGCTTTGCATGTCTAAGTTCCTATGTTAACTCACCAGCTAGTGAACTTACCTAATCATAGGAGCCAACTCCTAGGGGTCAATGGGTCTTCACCCCCTCTAAAATATTTGAGCCCCCCTCCCCAGTTGATAGGCATTGTCATTCAAATGGTGTGCATGCATATAGTTGTGTATAATTGATAATGGAATCAATTATGTGGGGTGGGGCTTACCTGGACCCCCCAATATTTTATTCAAGTTGGTACCCCTGTACCTAATCATTAGACTTTATAGGCAGGAAGCAGGCCAAGCCGAGCACTTTAAGGTCCTTCTGGTATAAAGAGGCCAAACTAACTCTTCCCCTGAGATAATGGGTCCTAGAAGTGCTTTACTTTGGCTGGATTGTAACCAAGCTGGCGAGATTAGGTGGGTGATAAAGAAAAGACTGTTGTTTGATGTGCTGTATAACAGGGATACAGAACCTGTGGTCCTCCAGATAGCTGATGAAGTACAGCTCCCATCATCCACGAAGATTTGCATGAGTGGGAGTCAGAATGCAACCACATCGGGAGGGCCACAGATTTCTTTTCCATGATGATTTGATCACAACATTTGTAATGACATATTCAACAATTGTTTCATTTTCGGTGTGATTATAAAGGGCAGTGTGTGCTATTATTTGTTTATTTATTTGTCTGACACCCCCCCCCCCAAATTACATGTTCGGAATGGAAAATCCAAGAGTTAGACACACACAGAGAGAGGGGGGGTTTGCAGGTTTTGTTTCATTTCCCCATTCAACTTGTCCCTCTTGCTTGTCTTCCTAAAGCAAGGGTAGGCAACCTAAGGCCCGTGGGCCGGATGCAGTCCAATTGCCTTCTCAATCCAGCCCATGGACGGTCCAGGAATCAGTGTGTTTTTACATGAGTAGAATGTGTCCTTTTATTTAAAATGCATCTCTGGGTTATTTGTGCGGCCTGTCTGGTGTTTTTACATGTGTAGAATGTGTGCTTTTATTTAAAATGCATCTCTGGGTTATTTGTGGGGCATAGGAATTTGTTCATCCATCCCCCCCCCAAAAAAAAGTCCGGCCCCCACGGCTGAAAAAGGTTGCTGACCCCTGTCCTAAAGGATGCTTTGCATAGAAGAAAAAGTGGAACCAAATTGCTACACAGAAGATATTCTGATAATGTTTGACTCCTGTTAAACTGGGTTAGGAACACAGACGGCTGTCTTACTGAAAGTCTATTGGGCCATCTACCTCAGTATTGCAAACACTGATTGACAGAGATTGAGACAGGAATCCACTCCGGATCTGCCTGTAAATGCCAGGGATTAAACCTGGGACTTTTGCATACAAAGGAGGTGATTTATTACTGAACCATAGCCCTCTCCAAATTCCACTTGCATTTCAAAAGACTCAGGTATTCACATCTAGAGGATTTTGCTCATGTGACTTTGGTGTTTTTCAACTTCAAAATTTGTACTCTTACAGTGAATTGCATGCAGCTCTGGATAGTTCCTTGACATTCAAAATACATTTGGGGGAATATATTGGGATGTGGTAGAAAGAGGGCCTGAAGCCTTTTGATCCCAGCCCCTATGAAGCCACTCCATTATAAATTGAAGAATGCTTTGTGATTAAAAAATTGACAACAGCCTTGGCTAGTGTGGAAGGGGAAATAATGAGGTTACCTTCAGGCAGCACAAGTGGATTCCTGGTTGTGCTTTGAATCTTGAAAGTATTTAATTTTTAACTCCTATACATGAGTTATCAACCCCAAACTGCAGTGCTGCCTCTAATCTTTCATCCCATTTCTTTGGGCCAAACCAGACATGGCTGTTCCCTAAAAACCAAAACCAAACCAAAAACAGGGCCTGCCTATCTAGTGCCTCTATCTTCATCACGTTCAGTAGAACCTGACCAGGATTTTGGACACCATAAGCTCCTTTCTCACATGCCTTGTAAATAAAATAAGTGTGCAGAAGAAGGGTGACTGGCCCTACCTGTCATGCTCCACTCTGATTTTGCCTTGTCAATCATGCCCCAATGTACACTCACTGAGTAGGATGAGTGAAAGCAGCGCAACATGAAGAGGAACAGAGAGCTATTCACATAGTTTCCATTTAGTGGTAGTGGGAGAACTTGGGCTGATGACCACTTATTTAGGGTAAAGTCTAGGTTAACCCTAGTGGGACACGGGTGGTGCTGTGGTCTAAACCACTGAGCCTCTTGGGCTTGCCGATCAGAAGGTTGGTGGTTCGAATCCCTGCAATGGGGTGAGCTCCCATTGCTCGGTTCCAGCTCCTGTCAACCTGTCAGTTTGAAAGCTCACCAAAAAGTGCAAGTAGATAAATTGGTACTGCTGTGGTGGGAAGGTAAATGGCATTTCCATGCACTGCTCTGGTTTCGGTGTTCTGTTGCACCAGAAGTGGATTAGTCATGCTGGCCACATGACCCGGAAAAACTGTCGGCGGACAAACGCCAGCTCCCTCAGCCTGTAAAGTGAGATGAGCTCCGCAACCCCAGAGTCGTCTGCGACTGGACTTAACTGTCAGGGGTCTTTTACCTTTATCTTTACCTAGGTTAACCTTGGCAGGCTTAATGAAATTGTACAAGTAGAACAATTTCCACACACACAATGGAACTTCTCCTCCCTCACATTTCCCTGCCTGTCCCAAATCTGTTCCAGTGGGTTGGGCAAAACCCCAAAGAAAATTTTTGAGGGAGAAGAGAGAAGGGAAGTTCTATTGTGTAAGTGTAAGATGTTCTGCTTGTATAATTATTTCCTTGGATTCAATCCAAATCTTTGAAACTTGACAGAGGATTGCATCAGTGAACACAACCATCAGCAGCACCCCATCAAATTCGGTGAGTCCTTTGAATACATCGTTTTGCTTGTTGTTGTAAAAAAGGAATATCAATACAACTCACCATGTACATAAGATTTTGCATGAGAATCTATACTGAGACTACTGATATAGTGTGAGTGTGTGGCTGGATGGGGCATTTGGCAGATACAGTGGTACCTCGGGTTACATACACTTCAGGTTACATATGCTTCAGGTTACAGACTCCGCTAACCCAGAAATAGTGCTTCAGGTTAAGAACTTTGCTTCAGGATGAGTAAAGAAATCGTGCTCCAGCGGCGTGACAGCAGCAGGAGGCTCCATTAGCTAAAGTGGTGCTTCAGGTTAAGAACAGTTTCAGGTTAAGTACGGACCTCCGGAACGAATTAAGTACTTAACCCAAGGCAGCACTGTATAGGAAACACTGAGAGTTAGCCAAGGTATCTGAAGCCAAAATCTTATTGCAATTAAGATGAAGAATTTGCATTCTGACACAGAAAGGAAATGAATAAATCTTGTACCTTCAAAGGGCAATAAGGTATAGCATTTACGAAAAAAGCCATTCCACATTAGTCAAGTTCCTGGGGTATTATTATTTTTTTTAAAAAAAGGGCATTTGACATTTGAAAGGATTACAATGTGTCAGAGTTGTTAGGAGTGACATTATACTTTGAATCTGGAGACCTGAGGAGCACAGTGAAATGAATAAGCAAGTGTTACTTTGTGAAAATGATCAGACAATGAACACTGAACTTGTTCTGATTAAAGAAAATGGCCCAAGTACAGTGGTACCTCGGGTTAAAAACTTAATTTGTTCTGGAAGTCCGTTCTTAACCTGAAACTGTTCTTAACCTGAGATACCACTTTAGCTAATGGGGCCTCCCACTGCCGCTGCGCCACAAGAGCACAATTTCTGTTCTCATCCTGAAGCAAAGTTCTTAACCCGAGGTACTATTTCTGGGTTAGTGGAGTCTGTAACCTGAAGCATCTGTATCCTGAAGCATCTGTAACCCGAGGTACCACTGCATTACATGGAGATGACAGAAGCGTACAAAAAAACCCCACAATTTGTCCAATTAAAAAAAAAAAGTATATGGAATACTAATTTGGGGCAATGAAGACAAACTAGCGATGTTAAAATCCTCTCCTCTAAGAAATGTCTTTTAAAATCACTGTTACTGATTAGCCACTAACTTCAAATGAGGCCTTCCTCAGAAACACTGGCTCCAGACAATTTTGCCCTATTTCTTGAGCCCCTTAATTTTTGTGAAGTCTGTTATGCTTAAAAACAGGAGTGGCTAACTCATGGTCCTTGGGCCATAAACGTCCCCTGAGGAGGTTTTTTGTGAACCCCAAAATTGTTTATAACCTCCCTGCTGCTATGAGTTCTCCGCTGTGATACCCCCTCCCAAGGCCCCTTACATTTTATAGTTAGTTTTTGCTTTGTTTTGTTTTTAGTTCTCACAGTTTTTAACACAGAACAGCACATTTAAAATTTCTGGTAAAGTTCAGCTCCCTACCACCATGCATGCACACGAAAGCTTATACCCAGAACAAACTTAGTTGGTCTCTAAGGTGCTACTGGACAAATATGTGTCAGACCAGACTGTGTCAGACTGTGTCAGACCAACACAGCTACCTACCTGAATCATTCTCTGCATTTTTTAAAATCATTTTTATCCACGGGTTTTACACCTTTATATTCTCAATTTCCTTACTACTTACAAGTGCTTATCTAAACCTGCCAATGTGCCAACTTGTTTACAGTATTTCTGCACATACACAATACATTTCCCCCATTCTTTTTTAAACTTCTCATTGCAGAGTCTCTGAGTTTTGCCATCAGTTTTGCCATTTCTGTATAGTTCATAAATTTTATTTGCCATTCTTCTATTTTTGGTAACTGTTCTTCTTTCCATCTTTGGGCTAACAGGATCTGGGCTGCTGTTGTAGCCTATACCATTGTCTCTCGAGACAGACAGATACCAAGAAGGAGTTTCACTGAATATTTATTCCTTGATAACTACACATATATATATTTGGTCTGGATGTACTTGAACAAAAACCCAAATCACCAAGAAGAGTGAGTTGTTCTTTTGGTTGTATAAGACCCTCTGTAGCATTCTGGAGAATCTGTCATGTTAATCAAAAAGGATGGTGGCATATTTTATCGTTACTAGATGAAAGTTTTTTGTGTGCCTTTATTTCATTTTATTTTACCAATATCTATGCAGATGGAATGTAAAATATTCAGCAAGAGGATGGCTTTTCTTGCCTGCTTTCCAGTTACTGATCAAGAACTTAGAGTGAATTATTGCTGGCAGCTTATTTGGAATTTTGAATAATTTAAATCTTTCTCCACCCCACATTTCTCATGCAGATAAGCTGGTAATACAGAGTTCTAACAGAAAGCAATGCCATTAAATGAAAAGCAAGCGTCTCTCTCTCTCTCTCTCTCTCTCTCTCTCTCTCTCTCTCTCTTATTACAAAAACAATGAAGCCAAGTAAACTATTATAGGAAATGAGAAATCACACTCAACTGTGATTTTGATAATGGGTTTTTAATATTCTAGTGTTTACCTTACCATTTTTATAATCCTGCCTCACAATGTCATGTTTGGAATGAATTATTACTCTGCTTTCAGTGAGGCTGCATAGCAAAACATTTGCTCGTTGGCAAAGAGGTCTCTTCCTCCCTATGGGTTGTGTGACCAACTCACAGAATAGCGCTGCTGTTCGTGAGCAAATGAATCAGTATTTGTTGTACAGCAATCTTCAAAACTCTATTTTATTCTTAGATGCAAAGGCTCTGAATAACCAAACCGCTCAGGAGGACTCCTTCTCCCCTGACAGGATTTGGAGGAAAAGTCCCACCAGCAGGATGGGCTCTTGAGGGGCGCACAAATCACTTTGTTTCTGAACCGTATCACTTTCCTATGTGCTGAGCCACCCCCCAGCTGGTTACAGCACATTTCTGATGTTTTAAAGATGATTTCATAGAGCACAGTGGACAACCTGTGGCCCTCCAGATCCCTTTGGTCTCCAAGCTGCCATCAACGCCAGTCAGTATACTTCAAAGGGACTCTCAGAGCTCATCCACACAGTTTGCTCCAATTCAGCGGTAGAACATGGATTTTCCTGAGGAAAGGATTGGGTCAAAAAGAGAAACCGCTGCTCACACCTTGTCAAGCGGTAGTGGATCCAACCCCCACAGCAGGTCGCCATGAGTGGATAAGACAAGGAAAAGTTCTTACCAAGAGCTTTTTATTCAATATTCACAGAGAAGGTCTTGGAAATGCAGCCTCTTGAATAATCGCATTGCCCCAAGTGAGTCTCCACCCCCTCCCTCTCTCCATTCATGGGTCATCGCTACGGGTGCTGAGAAGTGCCCTCTGCCTTTGAGCTCTCTGCTCTCCTACTTTCAATGCTTGCTGGGTTCTGGGAGAGGCGGTCCCACTGTGTCCGCCAGCCCCCGCCCCCCGGTGCTGCTTCTTCCTCCTATCCCATTATTTCCCAGCTTTCCCCCTCATCTGCCTTTGAGCTGTGATCACCTTTAAACCCCTGTTGTAACTCTGAAGTGTCTTCTTCTCTGGAAGGGTCAAGCTGGGCAGGCAGTCTCCACCATTCCTTCTCTGCCTAGTCCCTGACACACCTGGACCTGGAAAAGGAAGTGTGAACAAGCACAACAGTCTTCATTGTTGGGTCTCCTAGACGTTTGTCTCACCCCTCTCTTCTGCTGAGCTCTGGCAGATGAGGGCAGCTCCCCTGGGCTGACTGGAAGGGTGCATGGTTCCCTTGCTGTGTCCTCCTCACATTGCCTTCTCTGCCCTGCCTCCCGGGCTGCCCAGGTGTGCCCACTCTGGAAGCTGAGAAAACACTCTCCACCACAGCTCAGAACCATTCAGAAATGATGCACACTCTGTTGTTTGGATGCCATTTTATGCATGAAGTCATACAAAAAGGCTTTAAAGCTTTCATGTTTAAATAAGGCAGTTCTTCACATTACCCCTTGGGTTCAATGAGGAAGATTAGTTAACTGTCACCCTTTTCCTAAAGCTGTCAGCTCTCATCATTCTCTTGCTCACCCTCCAATACCAGGCACCAGATTCTTGAATTCTCCAGATTCTTGAACTGGAGGGGGGACATTAAAGTCTGTCTCAGTCAAAAGCAGTCCAGCTCAGCTTTCCAACAAAGACAGAAACTACAGTCAGTGGGAGATTAAATGTATACCAGGGATGGAAATATCTGTCAATTTCAGGTTCACTCCCCAGTCAGTGTGCATCATCACATTTTTGCAGCAGGTCCTTAGGCAGCTATAGGGGAGGAAAGGACCAGAAACTTTGATGGAACTCCTTAAGAAAAGTTACCTTAGGATTCAAACCAATGTTCAATTAGCTCCTGGAATACAGAACTCAGTAGCATCCCAGCTCTAGTCTTGAAGTTAAAATAAAAAATAAAAAAATCTAAAAGGAGACATTCAGCTCCCCCCTTTTTTAAAAAAGAAAAGAAAGAGCACAGAAGTGAGGAAAGACTAATTAGAAAACAAGAGGTCACTGACTTAAGAAATTGGCCTTTGTGGAACTGGAAGCTCCCTTGCCAATTTCATTTAAATAAGAATAATTCTTGGCTAGCTTTCAAATTAAAATGGGGAGAAAATACCAAGGAGCTTAATAGTTTAGTTTCTATCTGTGGGAATATCTATCATTTTACAAAAAGGGAGGTAAACATCTATTTTAATAAATCCTTTTAGTCAATGCATTTTTGCCAGATAATGCGTTTCAGAGAATGATAACTGCCTCTGAGCATTCAACCCATTTATAATGTGATTTTTGCCAGCTGAGAAATATGTTAAATTCCTTTCATAGCATCTGCTCCTTCCTGAGGAAATTAAAAAACCCCACTACCACCACTACCCTTTTCCTCTTCATTTTCTCAAAGATGTTTTCTTAATATTTTTATGGCGTTTCCTGGAGAACAAACTTCTGTTTGCTGCTACCATTCCTTCAGTAGATACTCAGAAGTGGATGGTCCTTAACAATTTTTCACTAGTCCCAGAGTCTGGAAGAATTCAAATAGCTAAATGTACAAAGTCAACCTGGGTAAGTGTACAGCAATAGATTAATTCTAAATTAATTTCATACTCATGATCAGCATATATGACAGACCTTTCATGTCCCCATTTTCTGTGAGAAAGTGAAGTTTGACCAAGGCTACCCAGTTCACCCACAAGGGTCTTAATTAGTCTCCTCAGTGCAA